TAAATTATTAAAAATTAATGCTTCGAATGTAAATTATTTCATAGCAAGTGTCTTTATAGAAAATCTTTATAGAAAAATATTTATAAATATTAATTATATATATTTTTTTTTTATTTCGCACATAATTGATTCTTAAAACTTTATTTTTAAATCTGAAATCCGAATAAAAATTATGTATATATTTATGAATAACAAATTATTTTTTATAAATTTTTGTTTTTTTAGCACTCTCTACATTTGGTTGTATAATTATATACATTTAAATATTGATCCAAAATGAAAAGAATCTAGAAATTATATATTCTATGATCAAATTTCAAAGCTAATTATTATTGATAATTATTAAATTAAATTATATTTTTTATCATACGAACAAGAAATTTAATAAAAATTTGTATATAATGCAATTTATTTCTTTCTATTAAATTATTTAATTATAAAAATTTAAAAAAAATTTAAACAAATTTAAATGACTAAAATTTCGAAAATTCTTTCATTTTCACTATATAGCATATATAAATATTTAATTTTATTTCAAATCTATATTATTAATAAATTTTATATTAAAATTTTTTTTATTTGTTTGTGAAGTAAAATGAATTTAATTTAAATGTTAGATCCAATCAAAATGGTATTCTCAAAGTGTTGTACCTGATTGGTTAAAATTTCATGTCATTTTATATTTGACGTCTGTCTTTATCATTGTATGGGTCATATGATACTGACGTTCTCAGTATAAAAAGTTTTTAATTTATTATTAAATATTGTTCCTGTCAAAATTTGTTACGTGCCTTACATATGCACAAGTGAATCAAATTAATATAATTGAATATAAAATCAATTTCATATATCGTGTAATAATGTCATTTTTTGGAGTAAATGTCAATCCATTTTCGACACCAGTAGGACAGAAAATAGGTAAGTTTTTTATTTATTTTTACAAAATACATTATATCAATTAATTTAATAATATAGTAATAATTAATTAGTGAATTTTTTTTATATGAATATTTGCTTGTATATCAATATTAATTAATACTTGAATATCTATAGATTTTTTTTTCTATGTATATATATGTCTTCAGATTCGTGTCATGAATCATAATTTATAATATTAATATTTAATATTTTTTTTATTAAAGAAAAAAAAATAAAAAAATAAAATGATATTTTTAATTCTATATTCTAGAACAAGCTACAGATGGTACTTTGCCAAGCGAAAATTGGACACTTAATATGGAAATATGTGATATTATAAATGAAACAGAAGATGGGCCAAGAGATGCAATTAAAGCAATTAAACGCAGACTTAATCAGGCTGCTGGAAAAAATTACACTATAGTCATGTATACTCTTACTGTTAGTATATATTTTTAATAATATTTATTTTAGATATGTTTAATTTATTTTAATATATTTATTTTAGACAATATATATACAACAATATGTATAACATAATATAATAAAATTATTACATATAATTAAATAATAATAAATAATATATTAATATATATATAATAATATATATATATTAAATAATATATTTATTTTTAATTTAATTTTTTAAAATTAATTAAAAAATTAATTTCTATAATTAATTTTATAAAATAATAAGATATTTTTGTTATATTTAAGATTGATTTTAATTATAATTTAAATTATTAAATTAATCAATTTTTAAAACTTGTCTATTTTTATCAAATATAAAAATATATAAAATTTATATATTTTAATGAATTAGGTATTGGAAACATGTGTAAAAAATTGTGGAAAACGTTTTCATGCTCTTGCTTGTTCACGAGAATTTGTACAAGAATTGGTTAAGTTAATTGGACCAAAAAATGAACCGCCAACGGCAGTGCAAGAAAAAGTTTTAAGTCTAATTCAAACATGGGCAGATACATTCCGCCATCAACCACATACTCAAGGAGTTGTTCAAGTATATCAAGAGTTAAAAGTAAAAGGCATACAATTTCCAATGACAGATTTAGATGCCATGGCACCTATTATCACTCCAGAACGAGTAAGATTTTTTTTATTTTAAATGATAATTATCAAAATAATTACATAATTATTAATATAATTACAGAGTGTACCTGAATTAGAACAAAATGTCATGAATATACCTACAGTTGAACAACAATCAACAACTTCTATAACACCACAAATGCAACAATCTCAGAATCAATCTTCTGGACAATTAACTATGTTGAATGAGCAACAAATGGCTAAATTACAAAGTGAACTTGATGTTGTACAAGGGAATATGCGGGTTTTATCAGAAATGCTGGCATATTTTACAAGCTCAGATCAAAATAATAGTCAACAACCTGATCCTGCAGATCTTGAACTTTTATCTGTATGAATATAATTTTATTTCATATGAATAATATAGCAAATATCTAACAGTAAATATTTGTTATAACTATTATTTTTTTTTTTTATAATGTTTTATATATGATATATAAT